ATTTTATCAGTAAATAAAATCCCAAATATTTTACGAAATATTTCAATTACAAATTTATTATAGATGGAGAAAACGGCCAATATAGTGCATGATCTTTTAAACTGTGCAATCGGGAAAGAGACAAAAGCAGAGGTAAAAAACAAAGTTAGATAAAACTTTCTCGGAAACGGTACTCATCGTAATGACATTTATCATAGATATGTTACAGCTCAAGAAATTTTCGCTTCAATTGCTACATCGCAAAATAAAGTTTACAGCTAACGGATACTTTACGCTCGATAATACTTTTCTTCATTCGGTGAGAATATTTAGAATGTTATGTAAGTAATTTAATTTAAATTTTTTTAATTAATAATTTTGATTATTTCTCTCAGCTGATTGGCACAGTGGTGACATATTTGGTAATACTTATGCAATTTCAAATGGGAAGCTCGCGTTCATCGATCAGACAGCAATGTAACTATACACGGAGAGATTTAAAATAAGAAGCGGAATAATAAATTAAAGATAAGAAAAAACATAATGAGAAATATTGAAGTTTTTTAAATTAGGATCTAAAACCCAATTAAATGCAATTAAACACGCAGAATTGCAGTTCTGAAACTTTTTATTGTAACTTCCTAATACATACAATCAGTTCTGATTTATAAAACTACAAAACAAAAATATAAATATATTGTACTTAAATTAATATTGGTAATTAATTTAAGTTGTTTAATAATTGAATTAGGCTCGATAGAATAAATTAATACTATAATGCCAATACTCAATTAATGCACAAAAAACATCAAAAAAATATTTTTTAAATATTTATTTAATATTTTTACATTAAATAAATGTTTAAAAAATATTGTCTGTTGATTGGGTCAAAGAACCAACATTCAAGGAACACACAAAAGTAAAAAAAAATCAAAATTACTTTATTTTGATACTTAAAGTCAATAAACAGTCAAATTTTGTAACCAAAAATCATCATTTTTACTTTCTCTTAACTTGGTGTATTCTTTGAGCATCAGATATTCGCGTGTAATATCGATCGTTTTATTAATTAATAATATAATGCCACATAAATCGAAAATATATAATGTTTCGATCCGATTTTGGATTCTCCTTAATAAATGTTTTTTTAATAAATGTTTTTTGCTCACACCGATGTGTATATCATAAAATTTAATTAGCTCGGAAATCTATACATAGACTTTTTGCTATTGTCAACAATGTCAACTTCACATTTACTAGGGAGGATACAAATCAAATCAAAACGTTTATATATTTTCGATTTTATTACGTTATACTGTTCATAATAAAACAATATTACACACGAATGGTGTTAACTTTTATTTCTCTATAATGTAAACTTTTTTAAATGCTTCATTAAATAAATCTATTTAATAATGCATTGTTCATGATCATTTTTTCTTTCAAGAACATATTGATAATTAATTCTTTTTTCACCACAAATTATGCCTTTTTATTATATCTCGGAAATATTTCAAGCAATTTTGTCATCAAATAGCGAAATCAAAAGCTATTAATCCGCATAGAGATATAAAATTTGTATCTCAATACAATCTGACTATTTAATATAGGCACACATTTTACGATGTATGTATTTTGCAGTGGGAAACAATAAGTAAATCTTTCAGTTTTAATTGCACATTATTTATTTAAAGTAACACAGCATGATTAAAGATATAATGACAGGCATTAGCTACTTTCCTTGTCCACACGGAAATTAATTTCCGAGACGCAGTCTTTTCTACTTAATCACAACCATTTAATACTACATCGGCGAGTATAGCCCATCCACCTTCGTGAATTTCGCTGCGATACGCATAAAACCGTAATCTTCGAAGATCACTAGGAGAGAGTATATTTCTCCTAATTAACTCATTGAAGATCACCGTTGAAACGCACTAGCACACATATCATACACGTTTTATTAGATTATTCTTATACTATACATTACATTCACGAATTTTATTATTTGCACGTTTATTTTCGCACCTAAGATTGCGGCATGCCTTCCTTTCTCTTTCGTATTTATCTCATTACGATACAATACTCTGGACTCCAAATATTACTCCGAGTTGATATTAGGCCTGTTCTTTTTAGCTAAACTTTTGCATCAGTTCATCTTCCTTCCTTTTCTCTCCACGAAGAAAGAAAAGAAAGAAAGAACAGGTGCAAAAGTTCAACCAAAACGAACAGGCCTATTGTGTAACCTCCGCTTAATAAATATATTTTATGTATGATTTTAAATGATTCATATACGCAGGACAACGCGTTGTTTACGTAAAAATGTACTTAAAAGTACGCACAACTATATTTTGCAATGCGATATAAATGTTTCATATTGTTTTAACCAAGGATGGGAAGTAAGACGTAATGCGGCCGGTTCTATTATAGGAGTCGTAGATGATTGTGGGATCTGAAGTCATAGAAAATTGACCAATCATAATCGATTATTCTACTCATATTTGACTGTGATTGGTCAATTTCCTATGACTTAAGACTCTACGACAGTCTACGACTCTTAATTATAGATCTCTCGCCGTTATTTTTTATAATAACAATTTTGTATTCACTTTACAATTTTTTTCATGACAGTAACGATAACGCTAAAGAAAGTCACTTTTGAAGAGTAACTTGTTATTATTACGCGTTATTGATTAAAAAATTAACTCATTATTTCACACGTTAAATAAAAACGCATTACTTTAAGTTGTTACGTAACTCATTAGTAACGAGTTATTTTTCATAAATGACTTATCCAACTCTGATGTTATCATTATCATTATGAAAAATTGTAAAATCAAATTGTTATTATAGGAAAAATAAAGATAACAGTAACAGTATTAGTAACGCCTTATTTCCTATCCCTGGTTTAAATTCTAGGTTTTCCCTTGAGCCTTCTTACGAGTTAAATACATACATTGTAATCTTTTTTTATTCCATGGCATTAAAACATACTTTCTCAAACTACCTGTTAACAAAAAAAATGGCTGTATAAAAAGCTATATTACGAATATTTTGCCTAATTATTCAGTTTTCTAGAAATTCCATATGAATATTTACGCGATAAATGGTTGCATTTTGATAATTAGCCGAATTAAGGAGTCAAATTTTTACGAATAAAATCTTTAATTATCGATATATCGCAGATTGTTTAAGAAAAGATTTATTCGTTTTTCTACTTAATATATTCTGGATTCGTACAAGTAACTTGTTAATGCAAACATTCGATCGGAAAACTTCAAAATTATTTATCTCTGTTATGTTATATACGTAAGTTTAATATAAAAAATGGATTATAATTTGATATAAATTATTTTTTGCTATAAACTACATTGAAAAATAATTTCTTTTAAGAATAACATATATTTATAAGAATTTTCATTTAATTAATTGAAATAACAAACTTACTCTTAATTAACAAATAACTGTTTATATTATTTAACAGAATATCTTCATTGCTATTTAGGAAATAATTTATGATTAAATAATCACATAATAAATATTATACATCGCATATTGTATAGAGATTGACGGTATCTTCTTTCTTTAATTACGAACAATAACAAATATCCTTCAAGGGACTGTTTTTATCACTATATATCGCATGTATATCTTTATAATACGTAAAATTTTTGTCAAAAATCTTGCGATAAAGAAATTAATTTCACTACAATTAGAATTTTTAATATTGTCGCAATTGGGTATGCCCAAATATTTAAAAAATTGTAATAATAGAAAATTTTGAAATTCAACACGCAAAATCTTGGCTAGACCAAAATTTTAAGAAGAGTAACAAATCTGCTAGGTATTTTTTAATAAGTATATTTGAGAACAAACTTTTATCTAAACTAGTAGAGAGTATTAGTAAGAAAGCATTTCTTTCAAGTTAGTTTCGATTATTTTCATAAAACAAGAGATTATTTCATAAATGTTTCGAAAGGGATTGTTCCACAGTTCTGCATTGCAAGGCCTTGTAAAAGAGTGTGTTGCAAGATAATAGTATTTTTTTAAATCAGAAAAATCGATGTTATTCTATAATTTGGGGATGAAGAACAAACTTATCTATTCATATTTCTTTTCCTGTTTTTTTTTTGCTCTTCAAATAGCTTCCACAGTTTCTATCCCCTAAGGTATTGTATTAATATTATTAGTGAAAGTGAGATAAAAGATATTCAAGCGTAATTTTCTTAATAAAAGGTATTATAATCAGAAACATTTTTCCTTTTTAATGTACACAACCAGTTAGCAATAATGTAAGAGATATCCCTCGAAGGAAGTATATGTATTCGTATTACAGATTGTGGGGTTTCTTTGGCATATATACACAGTATGATTACAAAGTTACTTGAACTACTTAATCACTATATGCAGGGTCATATATTATTGCATGGTAACAAAATTGTTTAATTTTTATGATTCATATGATATAAACAGAATTTGACATATATGTTAAACTTAAAATTACAGTTGTCAATGTTCAAATATTCGAATAATTACAACTTCATACACACACTCGATTATTCGGCTCACGGTATTTGGACTATTATTATTATTATTATTTTATTATTATTTCATACTTATCTATAAGAGTGAAAATTATCGATATTAATCATTCGAATATTTGAATGTGTTGGAGTTCGAATAATTCGCCAGAAAGAATTTTCCGTGAAAATTCGAATTTTACTTTGCGATTCGCATTTGTGTTTTATAAATGCTACATATGTATTCGTTTAGTATCATATCACGATTTGGAAAAATGTGCGTTTTTCACAATTTTCTAGCATAATTCTTATTGATTTATAGATCAATAATTGTTGTCAATCTAGAATTCTAGACTATATTATCTAAAGAAGATACGTAGCAGTATAGGAGATCTTTTTAGATTTTATTGTATTGTATTTGCCGTCGTTACACTCATTAAAACGTAAAAACATCTATCTACTATACGCTTTTATTACTTCAAGTTTTTTCCAATTATTTGAACTTTTTTCTTTCATTTTTTCTTTCATTTTTTCTTTCCTTTTTTTTCTCATTTTTCGTTTTCTTTCACGTATCCTTGCAATTCACATGTAATATTAATAAAGCGGAATCGGTTGTTACATAAATAATTAAACAAAAATAGACTGTTTTGTAATAATACATACGACTACCTTATGGTAGTGGGGATGAGAAATAAACTTTCGTAAAATCACAATTGAATTTATTGGATACTATTGGCGAATCTTGTTGAATTGTTTTTATGTACAAACATGTTGAGACTATGAATGACGGATCTCATTTACAGTTGTGTACAAATTGCAGTGTACTCGCGAAGAGCGACGCGCATTGTTCGCTAAATATGATACAAATATAATACAATTAAAAGTAATAGATAAATGACAGGAAACATTTTTGTAGAAAGGTACAAGTTCTCAGGGAATTAAATGGCATGATCTATGACTCTTATCTTATACATGTTATGCCAGTTAAATGGTAATTTATAAGATAGGAGATTGCAGAGTAAAAACTCTAAAGATGAAAGTTTTGAAACGATCGAATAAAGAAACTTGTACGTTGCGTTAGCATATGTTTGTTTTTGCTGTCCTCTTGTTAAACGGAAGTTTCGGCTGAAGTAGTACCATTTGCTTTTAAAGGACTGATGCTTTCCTTGGATCGTATTAAATCTACCTGAAATATCGAATTGAAGTATATATTAATTTTTTTTAAGTTAATTCTTATGACTCCTTTTAATAAACTTCTTTCAATAATCTTCCTTATATGCTTTTCCTAAAAAAAGCGAGCAAGATGTAAAATATTGAATTGCATTTATTAATTATAATTTCATAAATTATCTAAGAATTTAGAAAATTTACATAATAGACGATATAGTTAGAAAGAGATACAGATATTTTATATGCAACACTACATTATATATACTATATATATGTTATATATATGTATATATACACAGGTTGTCCTATCTAAAGCCAGCGGCACACCATGCTTTTTACGTATTTACTACCGTATTGTGCCAGCACCGCAACTAATACGGTAGGAAGTACGCAAATCCAGCTAGCAATCCAACAGGAAAAAAAGCATCATCTGTCACCGGCTTTACATGACTACTTTTTATATCTTTGAATCAAAAATATGTATAGACAAAAGTTAAATGACTTAACGAGACACTAATAAAGATAAAATCGGTTTGTCATTATATCAGTTGAAAGTTATGACAATTTTTTAAGTGAAATTATATAATTTTTTTGCATAATATTTTTTCTAATTATTTTACATGTAAAAATAAAGGTAGAGATATTGAAGAATCTCAAAAATCAATGGTTTACGAAATATTTTGTACTTTATTCTAGCCACGTTTTGATATAAAATATAAAATATCTTTTAATAAACCATTAATTTTTTGACAATCGTACCTTAATACCCAGCCAGAAATGACAATGGAATTGACGTCGATTAAACATCGAAATTATCCAATTGATCCAATTGACGTCGAATCGACATCGATTCAATGTCGAAATCATCAAATTGACATGGAATTGACGTCGGTTTCATTATCATTTCTAGCTAAGTACTCTTATGTGTAGAATAATGATAACAAATCAATTGGTAGATATTATAAAAACACATAATTGATTTTCTAAAAAATTATACAATTTTTATTAAATGCAATAAGGGGTGATCACATTAAGTGGGATCCCTTGTATATATATTATACAAAGAAATAAACAAATACGTATACAAAAGATACATACACTAAAATACTCTATAACTAAACTGTATTTACAATACTATAAAGTATACAGCATTATAAATACATGTTACCTATATGCTATATTTTTCGAAAATTATCTTTTACTTATAATAACATCTTTTTCTTTTTTGATCCCGTAATGGAGTAATATTAATGACAATTTCATTTTAATAAATTTAGGATAATATATTTTTTATGTATGCATCTCATCGATATAAGAGATAAAATTTTTAATGCTCATGCAAAAAGCGACTAAGGCTAAAAGCAGTAAAAGAAAGGAACATGCGATTAGAGAGAGAGAGAAAGAGAGACGTTTATATCTCATTTTACAAAGTGAGAAAACGTTGTATCATCCTGTTTCTCCTGTAAATTTGTATATTGTGCTTTGTATTTTTTTGTCAATCATTAACAATAAGCTGCAGTTATCATTTTTATTTTAAAAACTATATATAATACTACCGTGAAATACAAACAGATGAAAAATTATACCTAACGTCTTCCCAGATCGTTTAATTATTTCGTTGTTGTCATTAACAATGCTAACATATGTATCTCTAAGAGCATAAGCAAGAGTTGCAAAATTGAATCTCATAGACGATTACGCTATAAAAAAGGTAAAACAATTATATGATCGTACAAAAAAATAAACAGTTTTTTATAACAATAATAAATTTAAAAAATATTTCTTAATTTGTATTTTTTTTAATATTTTGCTGATTTTGCATAAATACTACGGTGTAAATTTACGAGAAAATAAAAGAATAAAAATTGAAATTCTGTTTATTCGTAAATATTTTAATTCTCGTTAATATATTATCACCTTATAATATTTTATATATGTTTAAATTCTATTATCGCGTTCTCTATATAATAAAGAATAATTTTTGTCGTCTATGAAAATCCATGTTTTCTACAATGAGTCGTCCGCGTCTGAATTTGCTTTTTATGTCGACTCGACGAGGATTGTCATGCCATCCTCGTTTGTAAATTTACTCACAGCGGCGGTGCATGGGATATGTTGCATGCCGGTATATTGGTGCTCTTGCTGTGTGTCTTGCCATATGAATTGTCGGTTTTTTGGTGATGGTGATGGTAGTTAGAATTTAGAGTCATTTACGTGTGTCACCTTGATCGAGATTCCACTGTCATCTTCGTCTTCTTCAGTCATTGTCGTCAGCCTCGTTGTCTCGTCGGTCAGCAACGAGTTGTCCTTCTTTGGATGCTTCTTTTGCTTTCCCACACTGTGTCAAATAATTACGTCAACTTAATCATTTAAAAAATGAGATGATAATAATTTGATGTTGATATTTACATTAATCTTCCCTCTTTTTACTCGAAAATTATCAATATTTAAGATCATCATCGTTATTATAAAAAAAATTTGACATTAATAGATAATGTAGAATATATCTTTTACATTTTAGCTTTTATATTTTATAAGAAATATTAGTTTATTATATTTAAGGTAATATTAAAATCTATGTTAAAAAACTAAATTCTACAAATGTGTGAAAAATAAGATATACAAATCATGCTTTTATTGAAAATAATTATGTCAATTTTAAATTATGTTCAAGTTTTTTAACTAAATTGACTGGAGGAACGGTTTGATTACAATTTAACGATTGTCTATTTATTTTCAATTGCCGTAACGTTTTGATTCTATACAATCACAATACCTGACATGAATGAAATTTATGATGAGTTTCTATAAATATATAAGCAAGATTAATTCATCGTTGATGAATCGCCTTTGAAAAAGTTTTCTCACAAATAATTTTTATATTTTAGAAAAATAAGATATACAAATATGTAATAAAATATGAAAACAATATGTAGATAAAATTAATAATGTACGTTGTATTAAAAGTATCATTATTATAAATAAAATAAAGTATGAATAGTAAGACAGAAAGCACAATAATCTTTAAACGAAGATAAAATAAATAATTAAAAAAAATTATTAATTAAAAATGACTAGATTAATTTCATTAATCAGAAATTGCTTGAAAGTATTTTTATTTAATCGACAATTTCATTTATTTCATTCTATTTTTGTATAATCTCTGCACAAAATGCATAAAATCATTCGAAATTCAATACCTACTTGATTAGTGATTTTGACTGTTTCGTTTTTTCGTTGCCTTCATTGACTTGTTGCCAGATACCAGTTTTGTTCACCTCCTCGCTGATATTGATACTCGTTAAAGGAATCTTCATGATGTTCCCATTAGCTAAAGAGATCTGAATGTTCCCTGCAGGAGGTCCATATCCCATCGTTTCGTTGTGATCCTGCAGTACGAATGAAACAATCGAGTTTGAATCTCAATCTTGATATGTGCGATAAATTTCTATCAGGCCATGCATAAATTCAAGCGAACTTTGCGTTGCCTTCGAACTGCTGGAAAGCAGGTGAAATACGTTGCTTGCCAGCATACTTTCAGTCGATTAATTATACGATAATTATACGAGGAAGTAATAACGATCAGTCAGGGGCGTCACGTAACATTATGAATAAATTTACAAGGGTGTGACTTGGCGTGTAGATAAGTCTAACAAAGAGAAGAATGCACAATAAAAAAATCAGTGCGACGAATTTGTGATGACGATAGAATTATATTAGTTGTTTTATCTTCTTTTTCGGGGAGAGGAAATAATTTTAATAAATAACGATTCTGTTCACCTTGAGAGTTACGATCACAATTTGTATCAATATTTTGTATTATTTTATCCGTGCATAACGGTATATTAATTAATAATAATCGACATTGATATTTATATTTTGTGAGGAAATACCGATATTTACAATACCAAATTAGAAACAAGTACAAATGTGTAAAGACACATTTTGATATTTTAACATTTGTCAATATTCTTTTTAATAGGTTGATAATTGAACATCGTGCAATTATACTATGATATTGTTTTGATTCTCAACTGTAAGTGTAAGCTGTAATATATCCTCGCCACGTAATTTGCAGAAAATTCATAACATGCTGTTATTATATTCAATTTAGTGGCGCATGATTACTATTGAAACGCATAGGTATATCGCAATGTGCATCGTCGCATTCGTTTACCGAAAAGTCTGTTCGATTACAAATGGACGTAGAATGTTCGCTGAATAATTTGTTTGCGAAAAGAACATGTCGACTATAATATGCGACGAAACTACGGACGTGCACTTATAGTGACGTACCGATGACAGGCGGAGGATTCGACGACTGGCGTTTTTTTTCGTTTGCGATTTCCGTATTGATATCTCCGTGTTTGTCCGGCTCGTGTGTGATTTCTTTCAGTCGCTCTCTCATTTTCTCTCGCTGAATCGTCACTCTCCTCCGTGAGTCATGGTGTGCTTCCGCTCAGTTATTCTGTCTTTAATTGCATTGTTAACAACGAACGCACGCAATTGGCTATTACACGGTGCAACGCTTCATTTAATCACTCGCTCGCGTTAAGATAATTTTAAAAATATTGTATTCCTTTTACTGGTATTATTATCGTACCGTACGTCATACGAAAAATTACACATAATAATGATTATACTGTTTTATGTATATCAAATTTTAGCTTATTTTTGTCTTCGTAAGATTACGATAAAAAATATTGTTCCTTCGTTGTGTCATTAATTTTTAGAACAAAATAACAAAAAAGAAATTAAGAATTATGATGACAATTAAACGGGAATCTTTTTTGATAATAAAGTTCAAAACATAATAAATATGTAATAGTTTTGCAGTTTAGCTATTAAAAGATAGCAATTCTTACACATGTAAATTTAGTTTGTATTTAAATTAAAAATAAAATAAAATGTGCAACCCAAAAAGATCGAAGGAGAATAATGCATTAAAAATAAAACTAATTTTATAATAAATAAATTTTTAGTGTTAATTGTCACGAAACATTAAGCTTATTTTATTATTTTATATTATTAACATAGTATTTGCATTCTTTAGGGCAATCAAAATTTTGATATTTGACTATTGTGAGAGATAAGTAGAAGCTCTCAGGCAGACGAACGTGTGTAAATTATTATACATGAGTCATTAATTGTGTTAGGAGATACTGGAATTATAAAGAGGTTTCGTGTGTTTCGAAACAATAATGTATTTTTACATGATAAGATACGTGAACTGCGTGAACGACGGCGCATTAAATCGATACAAGAGTCTCGAATGGTTCACAGAAAAGGATACTAGCGACATGGAGATATATTAAATGCAACAACACTTTATTTCGCCAAGTCGCGAATATCAATTGCGATGTGTCGATCGCTACTCGATGAATATCTTCGTTGATATCATTTGGATTATAGGCAACCTACTTTCCGTTTAATCAATTAACTAAAAGTATATTAAAAAATTCGCAATGCTGCGAACGTGTACTCTCCCATGGTGAACTGATCATGATTTTATTTCAAACAGCCCTTTGTTTACTGTAATATTGGAATGTATAAATTATATAGAAGAAGTGCTACATTAATTTATTCGAATGTATGAATAAAAACGATACAATATTGCTTACCTTGCAACAATAATTTTCCTTAATTACCGTTAATAGTTTGCAATGTCGTACTCGATACGCGCGACTATGCTTGTAACTATTATACTCATAAGAGTATTATTCAATTATTATTCAATTATATTACAGCGTAATAACGAAAATTGCATTTGCTTATCTCTATCTTAAATTCGCCTAAGATTCTATAACCAATATATATATATATATATATATATAAATAAAGATAATTATGTATAATCCCATCAAAGGCTTCACACATCAATGAAGACATCGATAAAAATTCATCGCGCGCGGTTCACCATTGAAGAATAATCTGAAAACTTGGAGCGAATTATTGCACAAAATAAAATTTCGGGTAGTCGCCGATGTGTTCGAAGCGCTCGTAAAAATAATTAACACTCAACACATTATCTAATTTCGCTACAACAACGATGCTATCGATAAAAACGTTTAAGATTGCGGTATCCGAAAGTCTACCGCATTCAAAAATTCAACAACGATTATATATCATAACATTTACTTTAATACTGGTCGGTCAGTACATCACCTGGATTTGAGAATAAAGGTTGTTTGGCACATGTTCCGAGTGGAAGACGAGAGGATGGCTTTCTCAAGGCCGAAATTTGGTTCGTTAAAAAAATATAAAAATTTGCCGCATAAATGCTCGGAGCAACAATATATTATGTATTTTCATAAAATGGGTAAATTTCGTGTTTCAAAAAATTTCTACAGACTGAAAACAGTCCATGTGAGTATTTTCGGAACGTTTTTTTTATATGGTACCATTCTCGTCATCCTGTTTCAGGCGGTGAAATGTCATTTGCGAAAATAAAAAAAATTTTTGACCGCAAAAAGGAGCAAAGTGTTGTTTCGACGAAATAGTAAAAAGTGTGCGTTTTGCGTAAAAATTATTGGTCCGTCCGTACTTTTCTTTTAAATTATTAAAGGCCAAGTTTGGCACTCTTAAATTATCTGGCGTATATATAATTATGCGCTTTAAATTAAATTATATTCTAGCCTCATATTCGGAGATCCTAAATCTTTACTCGAATCTGTTTCGCGTAACAACGAAAAACTAATTCGTTTTAGGTGACATTCGTCCGATCACTCATCGTAGTATACATCGTTTCTTTTACAAAGGGCGGATTCTCCAAAGTCGGAGAGAGTTATGGTGACCACGGGGCGAGCGTTCGCCACGCGATCACCTTCTGTATGCTATTTGCGACAGGTGATGGCGTTTAATATTCGTGTCGCGGTGCTAACCTCGCCGTTCTCCAGCTTACGAAGATCGTCGGCATGTTTCTTGGTTGTTTCCGGCATTATGTCGTCGAGGATTTTCAGCTCGCGTTGCGTAAACATCAAATCCAGGGATTTGCGTATGCCAATCATTACCACGAGCTGTAAATATTTACATTATACACTATAAAGCTATAAACATTTATATTAAGAATTATATCCTTGAAAATGTGTTACTTGTGTGCTTGCTCAAAATATGTCAATTCTGAGATTAAAATTGTTAGCTTTATGTCGCTACAGTGAGAGTCTAATATTAGATGTAGATATGTGTTACGAGATGATTTTATCGAGATACCTATATGTATATATACCTGACTTTCTTAACAAAAGATGATCTTCAACAATTTAATTTGCTTTGTAAAATAATTTATTAATAAATAAGATAGTTAATTGATTTTTTATAGTAATTCTTTTGCAAATAAAAAGAATAGTATATTTCTGTTTATTAAATCTGGATTAATAATTCGAAAAAGTTACAAATATTATTAAATTATGAATGACTTATTAATCCTTGGATTAATCACTTACCATTAAAGGAAACAAAATAGAAGTATGACTGAAGGACTTTATGATCCACAGACAGGCGAGGCAAGCAAGTTGAATCGCAGTGAACATATGTACACGTTTCAACGGAACCTAAAAATATGCATTTGCTTCAAATGTTGGAAATATCATAATTTTAGATAACTATCTGATAAAATTTGACCTTTCTTCGCAATACGAATATCGTCATTTATCATGTGTTTTTGCATGCTCAACACGAATCCGTTGACTATTAATTTTAAGAAAAGTGGGATTAAAAAAGCCAAAAACAATTTAGCCAATTTTTTTTCTAAATTTCTAAATTTTTTTTCAAATTGCAATATTTTGAAAACGGAAAATCATACTGCAACGAAACGAAATGCATTTTAAAGCTAAAAGTTGATACTTTTACATGATATAACTGTATTGAAAAAAAATTTTTTAATAAAGTTATAATGTCATAAAAATTCTCAAAATCGTCATTTTTTTGTCTCTTTGACACTATTTTTCTCAAAATTGTAATGTGATAGCCAATTTTGACTAATGGATTAGTGTTCTAACAATAGGTAAAAATATATAAGAAATAACTATTCACTATCTTATTGAAAAATAGTGTTGTGTGTATGTGTGTGAGTAATGCATTAATTAGATCAATAGGAATTATAAACAATGTTAAAGAGATGTTTTGAAATATTTTATTAAAGTTAATATTTTATTAAAGATAATATATCCTAAAAGAAACACATAAATTTATAATGAATGCATTTCAAGCTACTTTAAAGACATCTAAACGTCGGAACTATTCACTTACCTGGCGAAGGAACATGTAGTCTGGCTGATACTTAACAGGCATCAACATTATCAGAATCCTATCGAAGAATTGAAGACCTTTTAGCGACGCGACACCCATGTACAGGAAGACACCGAACAGCACCGGCATCGGTATGTTTCTTAACATCGGTGTTAGGAGCACCGAGCACCCGATCATCAGGAAAATCAGTATGTGAGTAACTCTTTGTTCACGGACACCTAAAAACTGCGGCTTCTCGCCCGGCGCGGCGCACTCAGATTCCAATTTCAATGAGTTCACGTGGTTTATGGAGAGGACTGTCGCTGCGACAAACCACGGAAGTCCCATTACCGAGCATATCTCGATCAAGATCGACAGGACAAAAAGATCCAGATGGTACCCGCATCCTTTCTGAAAAAGCATTAATAAGATCTTTGATAGAGTTTATTATTGCTGTATTATTGCAAACTATTGTTCATTCGATGTACTCTTTTTTGTATTCTTTTCAAATGACGTACATTTATTGACGAGAATAGATAGAGGCGTAACTACTTACCTTTAATTTGTTCTCTTTTCTATTAACAATAACGGCCGTGATTTGCTGATCCATAAAGATCAATATAGTACCCAACAAAGCAGGGAGAAATGCCCCGATAGCACTCCACCACGGATTCCCTTGAAAAGGCCAGATTATCCATCCTCGTCCTTCCAATGTTGGTTTGAACTCCGCTGGCACCTCCAATTTCGGTGTTGGAATGCCCACGAAATGATCCAATGTGCTCATAGAGAATATCGCTATTATTACTGCAAAATCGCTCACCACTTGCCTCACCTAAAGTAACATAGGAATGTCAAAAAAGAAAATTGCATAGTAAATGTCACGAATAAGATGAATTATTAAGTTCCTAATAAAAATAAAAATATGCTTATAATATATTTTTATAGAATGTGTAATAATTTTAGAACTCGCAGTCTTATAACTTCTTTAATTTTTATTTCCAAAGAAGATAAAACTAATCTTGTATATTCTCCTTTAATTAAAGCATATGTTTTTACCTTTGAGGGAAAGAATAAAGCGTTCTTGAAATCCTTGAGCTCTATTGATAGTAAGAACGTGCCCATGAATAAGATAATTGACATAAGGAACACGTCGGGTACATAATGTGGTATGTTGCAGCCATCACCTATCATAGTGCCATTGTAATTCTGAAAGAAGCAATAACGAACACGACGTCAAAGCAGGAGCGAATTAGATTGCTTGAAAGATCGTCTTTTCTCGCAAATTCAAAAACACCTAGTAATCTACTTTGCACACAGGAACTTGTAATTTCTCAAGAAAATATAAGAAGCATACGCATTTGACTGTTGCGATTGAGCGTAACGAAACGTTTGTGTGCCAGATGTTTTTTTATCATTCAAGTAAAGTCATCAAGTGAGCTGATATTCAAATAAAATTTTTTTGCAATTTTTATTATGACATAAGGTTACATAAATAACCAAGATAAAAATTGTTTCGATAATCTTGTAATATAATCGAAGTGAGATCTTGTAATATAATCCGATTGTCTGCATCGCTAATTGGCTAACTTAATATAAAATTTTCTGATCTTTTGATTTAATTGAAAAATTTCACATCCTAGTCGCTGTGAGTGGATAGTAGTTAATCGCAACGTGGTCAAACGGAACGCTCCGATATAATCATATTGATGCACTTTAATGAAATTCAGATTTCGAGGTATATGGAGCAGTCTATTGTTCTTAACAATGAGCGAATTGTCGCATGCTTAACTTCTCATACTGACTTTTATATTGTTTTGAAAATTACATTACCTCGCAAGCCGTTTTATCTAACATCGTCCAATTCATACTGTTATAACTGGATGGCAGACTGGTATTCGGTGGTTTGCACCAGCAATCGTAATCCAATGTTTCGTCAGGATAAGGATTTAAGGGATATTTTTTGCCGATTGAAAGCACGTTTTCGATTGCCTAGAATATACTGATACATTTAATACATATAAGGTATTAAACAGATAACTATGTAAAAAATATCATATACGCAATTTTCGCTTAAATAATCGAATACATATTATTAATTTTTTTATGATTAAATGATACGTTTTTTTTAAAACATTTTTAATATCGAAGACTATAGAAAGAATAGATAAAAAATTTAATAAATTAATGTTGTAATCTATCTTACACTGAATAAGCAATACGATTATTTTCACCTTATAGATAAAAATGAAGGCGATGAGGGTAGCAAAATTTTCCTCCGTAAATCGAGTAATATAACAAACGCAAGCACTTGCGTCAAGAGCCACGAGAATCATCAAAATTACGGAAATCCATGTACCGATCCAGAAACGGAAAGACATGTAAGTCCAGTCGACCTTTCTGCAAAAATAACGATCTGGTCAGATTATTTTGAAGAAAGATGTTAATGAATAAGATTTTCTATTTTACGCGTTCATTGACTGTATCTTCTGAAGTTACAATATATAATGAATGCTAATGAGTTATAGAAAGTAATAAAAAATTCTTAGAAGTTAGTTGAAATGCAGATAGATTGTTTATCAAGACTCACTTGCAGAATTCGTAGACAATCGTCTCAAAAACTAGAACTGGGCCAGTGGAACCAAGTATAGTCAATGGCTGACCAGAGAAGAACCCATATCCAATGCCGCAGACGAAACCGGAAACCAGCGATTCCATAGCAGCCATGTTTTTTCCGGTAGCCTCGCTGAGGAGGCCACCGAAAGTAATGATGGGTGACAAGCAGGCGAAATACAAGAAAATAAAAGACGCGACGCATTGAAGTGCAAGGGCATCCTTGAAATCGAAAAAGTAAAATGGACCTTTTCTTTTAACGTCGTTAATCAGACCGCCGAACAGTCTACCGGTTCTCGAAAGGCCGGATTCCTCCCTTAGCTTTTGTTCATCGGCTTCCTCGTCGAACTCTTCCTTAGGCTTTTCCTCTTTGGGTCTCTTTCTGACTTCCTGAGAACGTAAAATCAAGCTGCGATTGAAGTGGTGAATACTTTCCATAAACTTGTATTTTTTAAAAATGGATGTCAGAATTGATATAATTTTGATTGCTTCAACTTTCGATATTATAAACGCACGCAAGAAAGAATTTTTCTTGTCACATGCTTCTATCGCCGATAAAGATAGAGATTATTTTTATGCGTGTAATTATGTAATATCGAGATCTGAACTCATAAAGATTATATCACTTCTTATCCCTGACAAGACTATTCTCACCTGCGACGGTATAGCGGCTGGCGGTTCTATTCTGATTGCTGGATCCCACTCACCGGGTGGTAATACCGTCACGGCATCTAGGAACTCGTCAATACCAGCTAAGAGATGATTTCTATTTTTTGCCTTGTAAGCCACGTCGTGGAAGACTTCGTCGGACATCAAGGTCGCCATAGCTCGACCAATCTCGTGGAAACCCGAGATCCCACCCTAAGACGATCCATGTATGTGTGTACATATTTAATGAGGAGTATTATAATTTTGTCATATATATCGTTTGACATTCAGAAACTAGCCAATTTTATAAATCCTTATAGGTATGTATATTTCGTGTATTGTTTGATATAATTTTAATATCGTTATATATTTTCTCCGTCTACTCTTTTTATTACACTTTAATGATTTATTGTAAAATACCATCATACAAAATAGCGCATTAACAAGATTAATTATTGCATAACTTATCGCGAACAATTACTTAATAACGTAAAATGAGGTGAAACATTAGAGCTTTATAAGAACCTGTGAAGATTATCAGTCGCGTGTAACGCGCGAAAATAGATAACTATAGTATCCCTGTTTATCGATAAATAATTTTTATCACAAAGATATTATATACAATCTAAGAACTGATATGACGTAAATTCATTTTTACTCAAGAAAGAAAGACGTCATCAAAATTCGATTTGATGCTAACAGGTTTATTATTAATACAGAGAACAGCTCCTCATATCTGCGTGTACAAAAAATGATAGAAATATATAATTCATATAATTACAAGATTATTATCAGGAGAATGATATTACTTTAATTTAAATTACTTTTATATTTAATGTTATTTAACATTATTTAATATCATTTAAATTTTTGGTAATATTAATTAATATTTTACTTGAGAATTTTTACAACACCCTTTATATACTTTTTATTATAAATTATAGAAAATTTGTTAATAAAGTGACATAAATTGACATTTTTTATATTCATTATTAAAAAAATAAGAATATTTAAATTTGAACCAAACGTGTGTAATGAAAAAAATTATTCAGAGAGAATGATATTATCACATATTAAAATATTGTAGTTCATAAAACATGTTAAGCTTGCAATGGCGTATTTAAATCGCATTTACGCGAAAAATAAATTACTTTACGTATAGATCCCTCGAGATAATCAGCGGACGTATGCTTGCGTCCGCTGATTATTATCTCGAGGGATCTATACGTAAAGTAATTTATTTTTCACGCATATGCGATTTAAATATACCATTGTGTATTTGCATGCTATTGTCAGGGAAAAATAAGCAGTGTAAGCACTGCTTATTAAAGATTTAATTGCTCCACTATGGAAAAGATGACCTTCTCGTGTCTCAAATTGACATTTAGGTGTTCATATATACACATAAATGTAAAGTGAAAACCTTGCTCACATGCAGGTTCGAGGCGGTTCGGACTAGTTTGTTCCGTTTTTAGGTCTCACCTATTCGAGATTGAGTGTGGTGGAAGATGATTGCCTGAGATAAGCCATTGATATAACTATAATAGCCGAGTAGAGATATTGATTCGTGCAGACAATCGACGATTTCAGAAAAAGTCGGAAAATTCGTTAATGGTTGCTATCGTACTTGAATATACAGCAATTTTATTTAATAGCCCTATAGCCGGGAATTCTATTTACATTACGTAATTTATTTATACGTTACATTGATATTTTAATATTTCAAACAGGAAGTTTTGGATTCGCGTGTACTATATTTCTTCCGAACTTCTTTTGAACTTCTTTTAGTAGTCTCCAAGGGGATCACCTGATACTTTCAAATTAATAGTGTTCCAAAGTAAACGAGTTAGAGTTTCAAAAGAGACAAAAATAGCAATAATTTTATTTTTTTTGTTATAGAAAGCTATTTCCTTACGAACTTCAATTGCCATTTAAAAAATTGCAATTTAATTTACAATATACGACGTGTTTCAATTTATGTAACTTTAAAAAAAGAAAACAGGTTATATTCATGATATGTAATGATTGTATCATAATTATATCTGTAATAAAAGTATTCTAGTTAAAAAATCAAGAAGAAGAGATTTGTATATAAGATAAATAAATATTAATTTTTGGTCAGTTTGAACGAAATCTTATATTTAATGTCATCCCAGCCAAAGTTCAAACTTAGATCTATCATTATCGAAAATATTTCTCGAATAAATTTCTTATAGATGAGTATTAGTATCAATAATATTAGTTTGATTATTAATTTATTGTATTATTAATTTATTGTATATTATAATATAAATAATGTGATTGTACATTTTCAGATTTTGATAAAACTATGGTTCAAGATAAAATAATAATCAGCATGTGTTTTAAAAGGGAGAACACAATATATATATATATATATATATATATAAATATGCAATATACGAAATTCACAAAATTAATAGACGTAAAATTGCGTTGACTAAAAATGTCAATATTTATTTATCTTATATATATGGTTTTTAGTTTATTCATTTAGTCTATTTTATATGAGATGTGCAGATTAAAATAAAGTATATCATACATAACACTATTCGACAAAATTAAAGGATCTTGTTCCATCCTATAAAAATAGGCAAATTTCAAGATAGAATAACGATGATTTTTGACGAAGTTGTTCTACGCTGAAAAAAATTTTGTTCATTTTTGATTCAATGAATGATCGTTAATCAATGTCCGACTTAATGTCCGACGTAATGTAGTTAATTCGTTGATACAATAACTGGATTCATTTATGCAACTATATATTCATTCTTGCAATGAATTCTAGGAATAGTTTTATAATCTAAATCATTATGAGAATTCATTGGATCAATTTTCATTATTTTTTCATAATTTAATGAATATTTTATTGTATTTACGTACAGTTTTGGTTCAGTGTATCTTGAAGTTTGCCTATTTTTATAGGGTGGAACAAGTGATCCTTTAATTTTGTTGAGTAATGTATAATAAAATCTCTTTTCATCACACATCAATTATAAATCTGGCATCTAGCTAATGCGCGAACCTCAAAGAAATGATGCTTGAAGTAGGTCAAGATCATAACTCTCTTGCTTTTTATTTTTACATTTAATCCGATTTCTACATAGTCGTGATAATAGCGTTCTTACCATGGGTCCCAAGAGGACAAAAATGAATCTTGTCGGAACAGGAACTTCTGTCAGGTCCCCCATTATTCCGGCTTGGCTCAACCGGATGAATGCGGATAAAGTCTTGTCAAGAAAATCGACTTCACCTACGAGTATGTTGCTTGCCTCAGCGCCGGCTGGTATCTTCCTCATAAAGTGCGTATTACCCTAATGAGAAAGTGGAGTTGAAATTTTCTGGGTTAAGCTGCTCGAGATATGAAAAATCAAAACATTAAAAGGAAAAGAATTAGAATAAAACCTCTTTACTAAAGAAATTGTTAAAAAAGTTAAGCGATTTTTTGATTAAGCGTTTGTCTGATACTAAAAATAATGGAAGGTAATTGACCAATTATTATAGCTGCGTTCGGTTTGAGCGGTCATAAACTGTGAGCTTTATTCTATCTTTATTACTAATTATATGCGACAGAAAGATAAAAAAGCTTATAGCGTGAACGTTAAAACCGAACGCAGCCTATGATAATTGTATTAAGCTTTTACGTGCACGAGGCTAAATACATGATATGTACGAATATCGTACAGATTTACAATTTTTAATTATACAATATTTAATTCAATATTACACAATAATTTAAAGATTATCATAATAATTTAAATTATAATTTAATTGTAAAATTTTCATCATATTGCTTAATTATCAGGGTGACGTTACACTAAATTAGGAAGATCTAATTTCTCAAGGATTTCATTACTTGAATAATATATTTACGAACCTTGTGATTAGCGTCTCCGTTCTCTAAAGCGGAGGAGCTGTGATTTCTGCTGATAGACACGCTGCTGGGACTCCGATCCATGCCGTTGCTGCCTGGTTCTTGGCCTGAAAGAGATCTAGCTCACTACCTACTACATTTTTACACGCAGTTTGAGTAATAATCCCTGTCAATAGCATGCAATGAGGAAAATGATGGCTTTCATCCGCCTGTGCGTCATTAATCCTCCAAAATGTACCCGCGAGACAGATTGCAATTTGTGCAGCTCGAATTTCACGCGCCATGTCATTCGCACGAATTTACCTCTGCGATAGAACAATACGCGCGTTCCGCTTTAAGACAATCTGTCACAGAATAGAAAAGAGCAAACACGTTCACAACAAAATCATTTATCAAATCTTCGCGGAAACTTATGAATTTTCTCGTGGTTAATTCAAGCTGTATGTTTACAAAATAACAAGAAGTCTGCTTAGAGCGTGAAGAAAATTTTCAAAAAATTGTTCCTTTTATACACAAAAAACTTAAAATTTGCTCATAAATTCAAACCAACACTTTTTACTTTGATAAAATTAACGCGAGTTTAGAATATACTAAAACTTCATCAAATTAAGATGCGGTAGTAACAAAATTGTAATATTAAATATACAATTTATAGCATTTATTAAACAAACATCAATCCACAGGTAAAAACGTCTTATTTGAGCAAGACTGTTCAAGATTTATCCTTTAAAAAATCACGAAATAAAAGCAGCATTTTACGTAAATAAAATTAATATAAAAATGTTTATTAAAGATAGTTTATAACAATTCATAGATATTAATGATTTTTAACCGCGAAATAAAATGATATTGATTTCTGTGTATTTACAATCACAAATAATAATTCAATATTCACGGTTTTGTCTTATTTGCTACATTATGTTGCAATTTTATACTATCTTTGAGTTTTGTCAATGAAACATGCTATTTTGTAAAACAAATTATCTCAAATTCTCATCAAAAAGAGAGTTAAATCTTTTACGTATAAATATCCGTTTAATTATTTGATAGAAATCAAGCGTCATTAAAAAGAAATATTATCAGTTATGAAATGCAGACGGATTTTAAAATTATGTTAAACCGATATTGATTGAGCGATAATAAAAAATCACGTTAATTTATTTATAATTCTAAATCGTTTTTTAATATCAACATACACGATTGATATTATTCGATTATTCGATTGTACGAATCAAATGAACGTGTTCGAAATCTACTATACTTAAAGTAGCACTTGATCTTTGCATCAAATGTTAACGACGATCACTAGCAATCCTTTGCAAAAATGATCTTACCATAAATTTCTCTGAAACCTTATCGTATTAAAAGTTCGAAATAATACAAACTCTACTTTGCAATTTGATATTCTATCTTCTATAATTTTTTAGATATTGTATTTCCCAAGTGAACAGATCGGTAGAAATACAATATCTATTCAAACATTTCTAAATTTGTGATATTTAATTAATGCGTCTGTTATATTCTTGGGCAGTTATTTAAATTTTAAAAATCCTTAGATTATTTTTAATAAATGTATAATAATTATAATTAGTATTTTTATCATTCATTTCTACGTCGAATCTTCTTTCTACGAGTAATTTCAAGAATTGACAAGAGACATAATGACGTCTGGCGCAATTTGTAAATCGGCCTCCATTATCCGCAATATGATAAAGATATTTTGGCGATTTCTAGCAAACGACAAAGTTTGTTAAGTCTTCCGGAGTTCCAATAACAATCCATTTTAATCTCACAATAGTTTCTCATTTGTCGAACACGTCAACGGCGTGGATAATTGCTACTGCAGATTAATCTACGTGTACGTATGGAACTTCACTACGGATTAATGCAGCTCGCGAGTATAAAGGTGTGTATGAGTAGAAAGCAAGCACAGAAAAGCGGTTTACCGGGATTGCCGGGTATCGCAAGGAAGCGGCTACCAGCATTCAGCGCGGCTCCACTGCCCTGACTTGTTGCGCCGGCGATCGCCGGAGCGGAATTCGATTCCTCCACTAAAAATGAGCATGAAACACAACACCAGGATCGTCTTTTATTTACAAAGGAAGGTGCGAGAAGGAACAAAGGATCCGTCACTGTAATAACTCGCGATCACTTTGATCTCGGAGTTACTTAAAATGTATAATAAAACGATTTGCATATATATCGTCCTTTTTTCATCGTATTTCTCATCGCGAAAATAGTCCTGCAAGATAACAGGATAAATCGTTAGTCGAAATTAAAAATAGTCGCCTCGTTAGTATACACCAGAGTTTTAAGCTCAATCTGGAAATTTAATCTGAGAAAAAATTATCGCGTGCAAACAAACAGCATGGTTCCGGAATATTCCATATACATATAAGTACACGTGCCGATTGCAATATTACCGTGGGGAGAAAATTATACATGCAAATGTTTCTATTTTTATATAGAAAATACACGCAAAATGCCAGGGACGTGGCAGTGGTAAATACGTTACAAAATCTCCTTGTATGACTTTACTGCACGTTTCATTGCATTGTCGATGCTTTAATTTGCTGTCATCGCTTTTAATTTGCATATATTCGTCAGTAATATTTCGCGACAGTCGCGAAGCTCAAAATGACTCACGAACTCTCGACATTTAGAAGGTACATAAACAATGAAACGCCATTAATTAACAAAGAACATAATAACGTGATAGTTCATTGAATCACGATCCATTGAATGAATGCGTTCAACGCTATATTATTGCACTTATAGTAACTCACTTTAATTAATCGGAGTCTTAAAATATATATAACTTAAAATATATAACAAACCGAAAAATTATTACTTTTACAATAATTTACAATAATTTATTTTTTGCAATAATTCAATATTCAATGTGTCTCAAAATATAACATTAAAATAATCGTATTTTCATTTTCGCTTCTTCGCAGGTTATAAGGAGAATGGATTAATGTTAGGATACTGAAAAGAGATTAATCGATTATAACACTGAGAACCATAAATGCACAATAATAATGAATGTATGGTAGACAGGGTTTACATCGAGTTACGTGCACTTAGTAAGATCACATAGAAAGATCCATGCCTCATGATTGGAATTATAAATGTTGGCCTACATTATCAACGAAGGAACGTGCATGTTGATTAATGGATAATGAGACCGCGAACGGTAAATTGTAGTAACGTCACGTATGATAGGAAGTAAACCCGTCATTCGCAAATATATTACAATTCTCTGTATTCCCATCATACATTTAATATCGCTGTCTGGTCTTATTTGTTTAAACTGAAGGGTGACAGTCAATATCAATAGAAAATGTTAATTAGACAGCCACATTTAATGTTAGTGAGAATACAGATTGTGTATTGTAATTGTGTAACCACAATCCACTTCTCGTATTGCTGTAACCGCATTAGTAACCGCATAATCAATTTCAATGAGTATTGCGAATGATCAAGACGTGTCTAATATTCGAGAGGTAGAATCGAGCACAGTAGTTGTGGCTAGAATAGGTCAGACGCGTTATCTACAATGTCGTTGACATTTACACTCTTGTCGATAAGAACACGTATTTATAGAAGCTAGTATTTTCTCATGGATTAATCTCTGACTGTTTGAATCAACAAAATGTAAAAAAAAACTCGTAAACTGTTTTATGAAATTTTGAATCTGTGCATCTATTTTGCCAGATTATCCAAAATTCTTGTTTCGCGCAAGAGAGGATGTTAGATAATGTTGTGCCCTTATAGTTGAAACTCTTGTGCATTACAATAAAGATAATTACATATTCCATCGACATAGCTGAAATAGTAGGAGACAGGATTGATAAGAAACCGGAATGAGTTTCGTCGCGCGTCGATCACGAGCTTACGTGATAAGACACGTGATAAGACACGAAAGACGACAGAGAAGAGACTTTAGTATAAACGGAAGATAAGTGAGAAGTAGAATTTTGTGCAGATTCGTAGAATCGAGAGTAAACCATCTGGCAAGCTAACCTTTTAGCGGACACATCGCGAACCACGTCGTGAATCCCACCACGTGGGGTATGCCAAATTCGTCTGACAAAAGAAAAGAAACGATGGTAAGTTACAAATTTTCGACCGACTTGAGCTCCGGAGCACGAAGAGGGTGACTCGATGAGGGCGATGAGCAGTCTTGATGACGCCAAGTATTTCACATTGACAATCAATTAGCAAGACAATCACCAAGAAACATCAGGCAGTTGGGGAATGACCATGATGGCTTGTAAATCCAATGGATCGCGGACGGATCCAGCGACAATCGAGATTGTCTTGATCCTCGCTTGATCGGCACGCACTAAGACACACAATCCAATGATACTAAGTTATAGCTAAAAGTATCGCTTGCCTCCCAAATTCATATAATCATAGATTATCATTCTAAAATTTTAAAATTTTGTCCTTAGCGTATTTAATTAAAATAAACTTTCTAAGAATTATATTGTTCTATATCCTTATTTTGGCATATCAAGATGTAAGCCTATTCAGTTTATCAAATCACGAATCTCTCAGGACCGAAGTTGCAGAACTAAACTTGCCAATGCTTTTAATTTTGCCAGCATAAAAACATGCTAGAATTTGCGAAGCGATCGATACACGCATGTTGTAATTGTTAGTGGTTTGTTCCATTGGGGTGTGGTTAAAAAAGCGACGAAAGCACCGCAATCCAAGGCTGCTTAGCAGATGAACTGGCCTAAGTTGTACCTGGAACCAGAAGGTACGGCCCTTTAAGGTCTTTCGCCTCTTTCGACAGCGGAGCTGTATTCGAGTTGCAAATCTGACGTCAACAACGCATGCATACCACATGAACAGTCGCAATCTGAAAATGTCGTTGTGTCGTACGTGTTTTTTAACAAAGTTAGCACACCCTAGGACCCTTGGACCCGACTCTTTCGTCTCGCCACCGTCATCAGGGTGGTCTTCAACGAAAATGCAGGTGAAAATAAAAATAAAATTGGATTAGAAATTAAGAGAAATTAAATTAAATCAAACTCTTAATGATCCGAAATATCAAAGATTAATGAAAGAAAATTAATCTGTAAAATAAAAATTAAGAAATAAAAAAATCGACTTTAAAATTCAGCCTCAAATTAAAAAATTTATTGTTATTTATTTAAACATTATTTCGGATCATTATGAGCCTAAAAAATAATAAATTAAATATACATATTAATTTAAATAATAAAAATTATGACAGGATATAGGAATATATTATCTTGTTTAAGAATTAATAATAATTATGGTGTTTATTATATCATTTATCATATAATAAATTTGTTAAACAAAATTTATTTATTAAATAAAAAACAAAATACAATTTAGAAGAAATGACAAATTAAATATAAATATGAAATAAAAAAAGGAAAGCGCACATAGAGAAGGACACGTTAGGTAGGTAAACGGGGTGGTGCTAAACGCTGAGAATGTGTTTTTCTGAACGCCCATATGCTTGAACTTAAAAATATTATGTACATTATTTGTGTAGAGCCATCGGCAACCTGTCGAAAAGTAATTTATCGATACTGTGAGAGGAAGAAGTAATGTGAAACTTACTCTTTGAGGAGGAATGGTTGCGTCCTATCTCAGCTAACGATCTTATGATCGGTAACTTCGACATGTTATTGTCTTTACGTCTTTCATGTTGATGCCGATGTCGGACGAGAAGGGCTTCTCTCACCTGAAATGATATTATACTTTGTCTGATCGATTTATTAGATGTACACACGTGTGCCTGACGTGCCAAATTATTGATTTACAGATCAAAAATATGAGGAATAATATAGCCAAATCATAAATCTTTTAGTTCTCTTGAATCAATAAAGGTAATATTATTTTCCATCAGCGGTGATATTACTTTTTGTGTAATCAATAATTTAATTCTCGTCTTAACGAGATATGAGTGAATTTTATATATATGTGTTATATCAATGACGAAAAATGTGAGGATTATAAATGTATTTGTGATCTATTTAAGGATATCGTGGTAAAACTTCCCACTTCAATAGAACAGGTATATGAATGATTTTTTTTTCTCACGTACATTGTTATATTCTTACCTTCTCTCGCAATTCGACCGACAGTACTCCTTTATTAATCATGTTATCGAGAACAAGATCAGCTATTTGTTCTAAGCTGCCTGCTTCCATATCGAGCATGACGGTCCCGTTTAAAAGCAGGCTCCTTAACTCAAAGAGTGAGTGCAGTGATAAAGTGGCAACATGAGGTTTGCTCCATCTATTACCGCCTTCTTCGACATCTTCCTCGAACTTGATCCATCTGTGTATATTATGTTTGTACGTACAATATTTGTATATGTACGTATAATATTTGCGGTATTTTTTTTTATAAAAATATTTCTTATTTTATATTTTAAAGATGAAAATAAAAATTTCAGCTCTTTTTTAATCTTTTTTTAAGCTTGAAATATATATGAATTCATAAAACGCTTTAATCTGCATGCTTTCAAAGAATTATTATTACAGTATTTTATGTATAAAAACTTTTGCTCTTGTGTATTATTAATATTTTCGTTTAATTATTTCTTTTGACGTACATATATAAAGGATTACAATTATGTATTTTATATTATACGTATTTTATTGTATGACTGTTCTGCATATAAAGTCCGAAGGAATTAGATATTATTTTATGGACATATATTATTGTGAAACGAATAGTTTCAATGCGTAACATTAATATGTAAACATATTCTCGCATTTCAAAAGGTTAAAATCAACAATGTGGAGTTGTAATTGACTTTTACCTCGCTGTTTCCTTCCATTCCATTTCATCGCCATCTTTGATGAGCTCCTCCATTTCCGAGAACAACGGATGCGATTCGTGTGCATCGTCACCGACTTCCTCGCCAAGGATAAACTGCACTCTCTGGGCTGGTGGAGTGACTAAACAATTGTGCAATAAGACATGAATCGTCAATTTCAAAGTCGTAATCGGAAACAAAGGTATGCGAGAGCATATACAATATTCAAACAGAGAGGACATACATTTATATCAGAATATATGTATATGCCAAGTATAACAAGATATAACAGATGAGAAATTTGTTTTAGATGACATCGTTTACGAAATGTTCAGCTAAATGTGATACAAAAGTTGACAAATGCAAAATACATACAATATTGTAATATTATAACAGCAGACATTCTGGCCTCAATTTTTCATTATGTATATTATTCATCAAATAGAGATTAAGAGTGACAATTTTTACGAAAACTTGCACGTTAATTAGAGATAAACAACGAATTGTTAAGAAAAATCGGCTACTCTTATTTACGTGCAGAACAGTATGCAAGCAAGTAAACTATTAATTTCCATGCCATGTTGCATTTTATTCTTTGCACATCTCAGAATGAATGTAATGTTCAGAAAGAAACATTGCATAAATATCTATAATATAACAGAGAAACTAGATTGTTTGTCTAACAAAATATCAACAGAGATAAGATAAATTCTTATATGTCTAAAAAAATTGTAAAACAAAATATTCAGATGAAGAAACAAGGTTTGGCGAGGACTAAGAGATGTCAGCATTTAAGTATCCGACGTTACTTGATGTCAAATTTATATAACGGAAAAAAAAACAGAATTCCGTTTTCCAAACATCTCTTGAGTATGGTCAATTTCAAAGTGGAATGAAAGGAAGTTGACGTTGATCGATCTATCGACAAATAGCGTAAAATGTATAGACGTATTATATGTATGAACGTATGTATACGCCATGATAGATGACGCATGCACATTAGAAAGATTTTTTTAAAAGTCACATAGAAAGCAGAATGAAAAGATAGAAATCTTCTGATTAAAACAATTGTGTAACCTGTTGTGTAATGTAAGTCATATAACTAGAGTTGGGTAAAATACTATTTTATAAAATATGGCAGGAGAAAGGCTGTTCCATAGCCCCGACCTGTTCTATAACTATCGCCGACGTAAAGAAAGATTTTAAGGTCAATCAATTATTATATACTAACCTATAAGGTCTTATCACAGGATTATTTAAAGCGTAATCTATATATATATATAAATATATATATAT